AGATACTTTTCCTTTCTCCTTTCCAATTAGACCGCTGCTTTTAGCCCAGCAGAGAATAAATTACCTATGACACAGAATGTGGAGGGCAGACCTACAGTAAACACAGAAGCCATGAAGAATTTTTTTTAATTTTTTAAAAATTTTTTCCCCATCTACTGCAAGGCTCTGGAAGCCCCTAGAACTGCAGACTCATTCAAATTGGCTTCACACCTTCTGGTTGTGAGTAGATTAAACATCGCTGAAGAAAATGAACACTGCTCAGCAACAGGATGATTCCTAGATGTTGGAAGAATTCTCTTAAGGGCTGCTGGAAGCGCACAAGGCTTGGAGCATCCTGAGGATGTGGAGTGATACAGAAGTGTGCTGTTCAACCATGTTTGTACCCTTATTTTCTCCTGAGTTAAAAGAAGTGCAGAGTGCTGGATAGGATTCCTCGACAGCAAGAAGGAACTGTGCTAGCTTCTCTTAATGCCAAGTAAACAACTTTCACGTGTTTTAGAGGACTTAGGTCCACCCTGAAAAACCCTGTAGGAAGTCCTACTCTCAAAAGAGTTTCTACTCTGTTCTGTTGACATCAAAGACTTCTCTATTAATTTAATTTTCTCCTGCTGTTTGCAATAGTCCTTCTCTGCTCCCCATGCATTGAGTGTTTTTAATGTAAACATGCCCTGGCAATATTATATTTAAATAAGTGAGAGACAAGTCAGGATATCTCAACAGTGTTAATAGTGCATATTTAATTCAAAAGCTTGCATGTGCTTTTTAAAGTTTCTCTTCATACGTGCATGTTTTACTTGGAAGAATTGTGTTGCAGTTGGATTGCAAATCATTAACTAGAGCTGACTAAATATTGATGTGTTATAGCGGTTTATTTTTAAGCTGTTTGGGATGAATCCCCAGCCAGCGTAAATTGGCCCACATTTAAGGCAACAGAGTGAAGCTGATTTATACCAGCTGAGGCTGTGTCCTTATGCCCTGTTAAAAAGCTACAACTATACCAAAATTAATAAGAACAGGGCAAGAATTATGAACCCAGAAAATATTTTTACCTATTTTAACAGAAAAAAATAATAATACAGTGATTTCATTTCAAGACTAAAGCAAAGATTCAATAGTATTTAAAATGTATACAAATATCTCATAGCTAGTATTTAGACTAAGAGGTAGATGTCATATTCTAGGAATAGTATAGTATGGAATGATGCTAATGGTAGTTGCTAAATACATTTATTTTCCTGTTACACAGGACACAAAGGAGGGTGATAGCAATGACAACCACAAGAAGGTTTACAAAAAAATTTCTTGTCTTCTTTTGCTATTCTACGTTATCTACCTTTTGGTGCATTTCTTCTGGAAGGGCATGACGGAAAAGTGTCAAGAAGGAAAAAGATCTACAATACAAAACTTCACGTTTACAAAAACATTAGCTTTATCATTTAGGGCATCCTCTGTACTATAATGGAAGCATTTTGTACTTACAATTTAAGATTACCTGGCATTACTGTGCAAGCAGTGGAAATTCCAGGTGAAGTGATTCAGCAAAAGAGGGATCAGAAGAATGCAGGTTTCTCTCTCTTTCTCTCTCTCTCTCTCTCTTTCTCTGTTGTTCATGCTAAAAATACCAGGGCATATGGCAGCATATTTCAGCATCTTAACATATTAGGCTCCCTTGAGGACAGAAAAAAAGATGAAACTTGTGCTGTTGAGCCAGCAATAAGGTTACAGAACATGTTGCCAGGCATTCAGAGTGCTGGCAGCAAAGCCATTAGAGGAGTCAGTGTCTTACTTTGCCTAAAGGTGTTTCAGTGGTATTTAATGGTGCTCCAAGAAATGGAAAGCAAAGCTGGTGAGAATGAGGAGCAGTATTTTTATAAACTAGTTGCAACTAGAGGAATTACACATATTGCATTAGGATATCCACTGCTTGTAGATGTACCTTCCACTTTTCCCGTGTGACTGTTGGGGGTCACGCCTTGCTTGAAATAATCAAAATGCATATTATAATTACATGGTTTTCCAATATCCATACACAGCAAGTACAAGATACTTACATGTAAGTACACTGTATTTACCTATATTTTTGCATAGTTTTTAGTGTGTACTTTGTGCCACTTAATAAAAAGCATTACTCATCATTTTTGCTGTTGCTGTTTTTCTTTATTAGACAGCTTGTTCAATTAAAGTTGGAGTAGCTGGGATTTTTGGTATGTTCATCACAGATTACCAGTCCCTAGGAGTGTAGAGATTAGACATTTGGAGGAGTCTGGGTAAGCCATGGGGGGAAGCTGCAGTGTGAACATGAAAGTTTTAAATCACCTCCTTAATTAAGAAACGCAATATCAGATTTAATGATGCTAATTTAATAAACTTACCTTTAATTGGAACGGAATTCTAAAGGTAAGAAGTCCGTTTTCCTTTTGGTAACACTTTACAATAAGTGGCACTAAATTACACTAGAACTGCTATGTTACAGGGAATTACATGTAACTACACTGTAACTGTTGAAAGAGCTACTGTACATGTGCGTACATGGTAACTTCAGTGCTGTTACAATCATGAATTACATAATTACAGATGATTCTGTCCTTTCTTTTCATTGGAATAGCTATATATATATATATATTTATATATATATTATACTGCAATGAAAACACACAAGATGTTAACTTTCATGTCTCACTTAGAAAAGTTGGTTTTCTTCACGTGTTCCTTTAGAGAGGGAGTCTCAGTGCAAGACGAACCATCCTTAAGTAATGTGGAAACTTTTTGAGATGTTCTAGCTTAAACTCTGAGCCTCAAGTTAAACATCAGGTTCCTTAAACTGTCTCTTGGTTTGTCAGATGACACTAAAAGAGTGGGATGATGCACCCCTTGTCTTCTGATGCACCGCTTCCTTGTTCAAATCATGAGAATGTTCTTGAAACATTAAAAAAACCCCAAAAAACAAAAGCAACAACAAAAAAAAAAAAAACAACAAACCAAAAACAAAACAAGAAGAAAAAATAAAGTCTACATCAAAAAAGTTTAAAAATAATCAGCAATCGACACTGTAAACAGTACACTGGCAGAAACTAGCTACCTGGTCTGGAGAAAACTACTCTGCAAGCGAGTGAGGGAGAGGATGTCACATACATTTTAGTGAAGGTGGTTCCCATTCAGACCCTCCATTTTACACACTCGCTGGTGCCTCACACCATCATAAAAACATTTTTTTCTTCTTTTCAGAATGGGAACTCGGGCGAAAGGAATGGACAACTGGCTTTTAGCCTACTTAACGTCATTAATGTTGAGCCATGACTCTGCTTACAGAAAAGAGGGATGCCTCCTTACACCCAGTGCAGTAATCGGAACCCGTAAAGACCAGACAGGTCTGCAAAGTGCTATCCAGGTAGAACGCTCTGTGTGGGGCTTTTCACACCTGCTGTGCACAGCTGCAAGGGACATCACCAGGTGCAAGACAATGGAAGATCAAATGGGTTACAAATGAGCACATGTGAGCAGTTTTAATTGAAAGCCAATGGGAAAAAAAAAAAAAAAAAAAGCAAACAAACTGGTCTTAACAGTACAGGTTTATATCTGTTTTTTTTGGTTTTTTTTTTTTTTTTTTTTTGCTAAGTTGAAATAAATGCTGTTTGTATGCCACTGGAGAATATGGTTTGAAATGGTTACCACAAGGCCAATCCTGCTTTTGAAGGCCCTGCCTGACCTTGGCTGGGTAATGGTTCAAGTAACAACCCTACTATTCAAGCGAGCTGGAGTTAGGAAGGATGAAGAAAGGTGTAAACACCACGCTGCTGGGGAACTCCACTGGAGCAAATAAGGCCCTCATCCAGGGAAGCACTTCGTTTTTAAGCATATGAACAGTGCCTTATACTCCAAGGGAACTCCTCTGACACCTGAAGCTATGTGCTTAAAAGCTTTGTTGAACTGGGCCCCAGGTCCTGAAATAAAACTTTAATACTGTACTACAGCTAATGTAACTTACTGGTGTGACAAGAACCCATGTTTTTGGTATTAAACTGAATGACTTCCTTTGCCAGCCTTTTACATGTTTATGTTTTGAAAGACATGAATATCTTGTAAACCTATACTAGTTTTCAATGTGTCTAGTAGCACCTACCTGGTTCTCTCAAACTACCATATTATATTAACATATTATTGCATTTTTCCACAGATGGGTATGGAGTGAACTGTAAAAACAAGCATGCAATCACATCAATGCAGACTTATTTCTTTAAAATGTCATACTGTATATGATTTATTATGTTAACACTCAACCACATCATATTATTTATGTCTGTATATTTTGAAAAAAAGTGCTGCTTTGATTGACGTCACCCTTTTTTCTTAGAAATTAACAAGATAAATGCTTCAACAAAAACAATTAAAATACTCTAATATTGTCCTTAAAAGGTTTATATTCTTCTGATAAATAATCTGTCACAGCACCTTTATCTTCCATTTTACCATACCACATGATGTCGTATTCCAAATTCTCCCTTCCCCACACAAAAATAAAATCCAAGGAGAAAGTCCTTTACAGCAGACCATCATGCTTTTACGCTTCACATACACATCAACCAGAGAGAAATACTTTTGTCAAAGGTGCAAATCACAGGAGCAAAGCGAGCTCCAACTAGACTTAACTTGCATTCTCCAGTGTAGAATCATTTCCAAGACCTGTTATGGCAACCTTTTCTTTTCATTGGAAGAGGAAATAAGCCGATGGGCTTACAGTGTTTTGTTGTCATATTTAAGAGCATGTGATTTTTCAGCTGTCAATTACACAAAAAAAAAAAAAAAATTCAGAAATAATCCAAACAGAGACCTTCACTGTGGAGCTAAAAGCATGGCAGGAATTCTCTATCATTCACGGTGACATAAGTTTGTACCTCACAAAATGCATAGACAGGAATTTAATATAAAGAATTAGTCCATTTACTGTATACACAAAACATATATCTTTTGTTTTAACACTTCTATTTTTACTTTTTTTTTTGTTTTTTTTTTTTTTTTTTTTTTTGGCAAACCAACATAGAGAAGCAGCTCTGGAACTGCCAAATTAAAACTGAGAATTTTAGCAACTCAATAGTACTTTTTAAGGATAGTAATCAAATGTGGTTGTAATTTAAAACCTGAGGCTGTGCACTGGTTGTTAGCTTAAAACTACCTTTCCATATAACATTGTGCTTCCATTGTATAACAAAGAAAAAATTAACAAGAACTAGAAAAGTTTGCTGCTGAACAGTGCTAGGACATACAGACAAAAAAATACTAACACATGTTATCTACTCAGAATATTGATTTTGAGTCATATCTAAAGGGATATAATGGACATTAGAAAATGCTTACTTGTGACTGACTCAGCTACTGCCAAAAAAGTTGAATATGTATCAAATAATGTTTAATTGAATTTATTATATGCACTATATACAGATACTAAAATGCCTTGCAATTGTGCCCCATGAACACATCAAATTTGAGTAGGCAGGTGAGTTCATGTTTAGCAAATAAATTATAAAAACATAAATTACTCAGCAAGTTCTCTAATCTTTGTGATACCAAAAGCCAGTAAAAGGGCAGGACAAATTGTTTCAAAAGAAGCTCTATTAACCTAACTTTGTAGAATCTGTATATCTATTCAGCATGTTTTCACCACTGAAACATGGCACTGTTGTCAAGGTACCATTTAAATCATAACAAAACAAAGCAAAACACCCCAAAAAATTCACTGGACTGATCTTTTTACCTACCAAATCCAAACAAATGAGAAACTATACTAAACAGAGTTCAATTTGTGTTTCCAAGGGCATATGTTTCAAAAACAAGTTGCTTTTTGAACTATAGATAGACCAATATAAATGATTCTTTGTAAACCTCTAATCTTAGACTTAACATTTTCTGTAAGTAAATTAGGACCTTACCTAATAGTACTTGTTATGAATTTTGTTCTATGACATACTAGTAGGGACATGATAAAAGAAAACCGGAAAAGAAAGCTGCATAACACTTAAAGATGTAGAAAACTTGGATTAAGAAGATGATTAACATTGTTAAGGCTGTATATTCAAGCACTGTATGTTAAGAGAGCAGTGGATATGATTTTTAGGCAATAAGAAATGTCCTGTTTTATGCATGATACTGTAATTATAGAATGATGATGTCAACAGCTGATTGTTGGCATAAACTGGCTACTTATAGCAGGTATGTGAGTTAATAAAGATAGCAGAAGATGGCAGAAATGAATTCTAAGAAATGATAGCCAGTTTTCTCCAGCAGTCAGCCTGATAAGTAAAACTCCAAGATTCTAGCTCTGCATCTAAATGAAATACTCTTTTTTCTCCTCTGCATTGACTTGGCTGCCTTCTGCATTGATAATGGCTGTGTCGGCATCAGGTGCATCTTCAGCTCCTTTTGCTTCATTTGTTAAATATGTTCCTGTAGGGATCAGTACAAGAGAAAAGAAAAGAAAAGGAGAAAGATTAGGTTTGGTTTTTTTTTTTTTTTACACTGCATTATAGGAAGTACATTTCAAACAATGTACTCCAATTTTTTAATGAATGAAAAATATTTTTACACAGTTTTTAGTATACATCATAATGGTGTGTTCAGCTTTCCAATTTGCTTAAGAAATATTTACACAGATATTTACACTGGTAAAGGCATATATGCAAACTCTAGTATATCCACAACAAATTAAGGAAATATTTTAATAAAACTCCACTTTATCCAACTGCAGTAATATGCAACATATTTTTAAAATATACAATAAGTGATAAAATCTTGGTTATTTCATGAAATAGTTATCCATCAAAAACAAGACAATTTTGAAGACTTAGAGATTCATAAAAGTGCTTTTTTTTTCTCTTTAATGGCCACTGATCATTTGTATTTCTGTTTTTTCTTGATCACATCTATGCTTTATTTTTACAGAATTGTATCATAGTAGGTTCCAAGAGTTACAAAATTGAGGCAGTTTTAGTAACTGAACCAACTCATATTATATTATCACAGCTATTTTTATACTCTGGAAATGAAAGAAAAGAAGAAATGTGTACAATAATAAAATTTCCCTTAGTGAAAATCATTATTTGTGCTGGCATAAGATGTACAACCGTTCATTCAGGAAAGTAAAACAAAAGAGACACACTTTCACTGGCTCATTAAAAAAAATTCTGATTTTCTCCCAGGTAGAATAATCAAATTCTAAAAATATTTTTTATCAATTCATGTTTGTTAGGTGTATGATTATCCTACCGATAAGGAGAGTTACTGAATTAATACCAGCCTTCATTCTCGATTTTTTTTTTTTTTTTTTTTTGAGGGGGGTGGAAAGGGAATCAACTGAGTTTTAGCAATAGGCCTGCAAGCTGTACAAAGGCTAAATCTCAAGGCATGATTTTGGAACTAACTAGGTCAAAATCAAATCACAGAGAAGTCAGAAGTCAGTGTCACTCCATTCCTGTTATCTTTAGGTAGAGGGGACTGAAAATGAAGGGACCAGAATTATCAAGGTAAAACCACAGAATAAACTAAAGCTAGCCCCAGGAATGAACCCCTTATTCCAGCAGGATCATTGATAAACTGATTTGAAAACTCACTACTGGCTTCTAATATTATCTTTTAAACATATACTTGAAATACTAGCAAAATCCATTAAAATGTAAATTTTGTTCACTCAACGCATATATATTCTGCTGAGCTGATATGGTAGTTAAAACTATGAGAACATGATGAGAACATGTAATCAAGTATCAGGAGTTAAGATGCAAAACCAAGGGGCAATCTTACCCCTCGGTCTCTCTACATCACTGATTTATAAGATGACCTTAGGCATGCACTAACTCCATGTCCTTTGCCTTGGCCAGCCCACTGGAAACCTGGTTAAAATTCACACGGACTTCACTTGTGACTGGACTGAGAACTATTTTTTCTTCCAATCATTCAGCAGAGGGGGGGAAGTTGAAAGGCAATGGCACTCCCAGGTGAAATCATGTCTTGCTTTCAAGAGTGATTGAACTTCCATCAAATGTGTCCTACCTTTATGTCTTGCCAGGTACCGACCAAGGAGAATTATAGAACATAGTGTTACAAAGACAACTACAGCCACTATTCCTCCTATAAGAGCGTGATCAGGTCCAGTCTGTCCAGCCAAAGCATTTGGATCTAGAGGGAGAGACAAAAAAGCAAAAGTGGTCCCACACAGAGAAAAAAAAAATGACAGGAAAATTCACAATACCAAGTTTTATAGTGATCATCCTGAAAATAGGGCATTTCCCTCTTTAATATTCAGCACCGTTATTCCCACTTTTACTCCCAGTATCTTATCAACAGCACAGTGCTGCTTGTATTCCCAGATTGTTAAAACCCTGAGGACATCACAGTTATGAAAAATATTACCCTATTCTTCTTTGGCAGAGGTTATTAAATGAAAAAGGTCCCTAGCTTTGTCCTAGTCATTTTACAACTGAAAACCTGGCCCCAGCTATTTATAGAAGGAAAAACAAGGAAGTGAGAATTGGGGATCAGATAGCATCAGCAGAATAGTGTCTGCATAATAAATAATTTATAGAATTGATTCTCAGTGGGGAACCCTTATATGTTCTCTTCCTCTCATTCCTACCCTCTTGCACCAGAAATGAAAAGGCAGATAAAGTGCAGCTGTGCCAAGTTCCTCTGCACATGGCTGAGTCTGCATGGATTTGGTTAGATAAAGGTATCAGGCAAACTGAAACTCAGCATTCAGACTCAAGCATCAGTTTGTGAATTTCCTACAAATGCTCAATTAACACCCAGTGTGTGATATCTATTACACCAAGCTGTAATAGATATCACAGAATCACAGAGTCAGCTGGGATGGAAAATATCTTTGAGATCATCAAGCCCAACAAATAAAGCAACACGACCTTGTCAAGCAGTCCATGGCACTGAGTGCCACATCCAGTCACTTAAACACCTCCTGGGATGGTGACTCCACCACTTCCCTAGCCAGCCCAATCACTCTTTCTGTGAAGAACTTCTTCCCAATGTCCAAATTAAGCCTCCTCTGGCACAGCTTGCACTTTGGTGTTGTTAGACCTCATGCTGTTGTATTCAGCCCATCGACCAGCCTGTCCAGGTCCCTCTGCAGAACCCTCCTACCCTCCAAAAGATCAACACCCCCCCACAAATTGGCGTCATCTACACATTTGCTATTGGCAGAGTGAATCAGCAGGTTCCTATTTCCAGCTCAGAGCACTGGGAATACTGTCAGATTCAAATGTTCTGTGCTGGTCATTTGCCTGTTCTGTTTGCCCGATGTGTCACAAAAGTTGCTGAGACAATCATGGGAAATGGCACTGCTTTGGGGTGAGTAATTCTTCCAAGTTTTTAACAACAAACCAGTAACCTGTGACTGTTGACTCAACAGATAAATGCAGAAGGTAAAGTTTTAATCTGAGGTTCATGACATGGTTCCTATTATAATGAAAATGCCTCTGCTATGAAGTAATAGTAATTCTCTGAAGATGTTATTAGCATGTACTGTATGCTGCAATCATTCCACTCACTGCTGCAAGGGAATTTCCTTTGTAGGAGTTGTTTATATTCTTCAAATAGTTTGCAAACGACTTCTTTGCTTTGCAAAAGGGAAAGGCAGGAACAATATTTACACATAAAAGAGGGTAACTCTGTGAAGATGATAGAAAGGCCTCTGATACTGCTGAGGAGGTGTGATTCCATAATACCACGACTACTTTCTGCTGACCAGGACTGCTACATGGCAGTAGGATGTGTGGGTACATCTGATATGGGAGTCTCACGAGGTGTAACAAGGCTAAGTGCTGGTGCTGCACCCAGGTCAGGGCAAATCCTCTTCTGGGGGATGAACAGATCCAAAGCAGTCTGGCTGAAAAGGACTTGGGGGTGCTGGTGGGTGAGCTGCCCTTGTGCTCTTGCAGCCCAGAAAGCCAAATGTGTCCTGGGCTGCATCCAAAGCACTGTGGGCAGCAGGGCCAGGGAGGGGATTCTGGGATTCTGTCCCTCTGAGCCACTCTTCTGAGACCCCATCTGGAGAACTGCATCCAGTTCTGGGGTTTCCCGCACAGGAAGGACATGGACCTGTTGGAGTGAATCCAGAGGAGACCACCAAGTTTATGTGAGGGATTGGGCACCTCTCCTATGAGAAAAGGCTGAGAGCATTGGGATTGTTCAGCCTGGAGAAAACATGGCTTTCTGGTGACCTAACTGTGGCCTTCCAGTACCTGAAGGGAGCCTGCAAGAAAGATGGAGAGACGCTATTTACAAGGGTGTGTAGTGATAGGACAAGGAGAAATAGCTTCAAACTAAGAGCAGGTTTAGAGTAGATTTTAGTAAGAAATTTTTCACTGTGGGGGCAGTGAGGTGCTGGCACAGGTTTCCCAGAGAAGGTGTGGCTGCCCCATCCCTGGAAGTGCTCAAGACCAGGATGGATGGAGCTCTGAGCAACCTGGTCTAGTGGAAGGTGTCCCTGCCTATGGAACTAGATGATCTTTAAGGTCCCTTCCAACTCAAGCCATTCTATGATTCCAAGATCTACAAATGCACATGTATATAAATATAAGTTTGCACAGATGAAAGAAAAGAATCCTGTTTTCCCTTCCTTTTGCAAACTGTGAAGCATTCTTCAAATACATTCTCTGGCCTGCTGGAGCACAGAGTGGTGTAGCCACTGGTACAGATTCAGTTCTGCTCTTAACAGTCACTGGACTTGTTAGGCAGGACTTTGTCGCTTATCACTGGCTTTTTGAGCTCCCATGCCTTTCTCTTCTGGCTGCCACAAGGATTTTGGGGAAACTGGTCATAGAACTTCTGTGGATATGATGGCAAAAAATAGGTATTTGGCATCAAAAAAGCTAGAAACACTTTATAAAGTGTCTCCTGTTATAAAGTGTCTCCTGCATCCTCTTCCATCTCCACATCCTCCTGGCATGGTGCTGCTGGTGGTGGCACCATGCTGAGTACACATCACCCGTCCAGCAGGACATAGGTTCCATTTTGGTCATTAAATCTGACCCCAAATCCTGTGCACCAGCAGACTCACAGGGGAAATCAAGAGAGCTGGAGCATTGCCTTCCCAAAGCAGGAGCTTGGAGCATTCAGCCTTCCTCTCCCTTGCCTTGCAGGGGCTTTGTTTTTCAAGCAGAGCAAGGACGAGGTGGCTGCTTGCTTGAGAAGATGGAAGGTGACAGCTTGCTGCAGGAGTGTCAGCTTGAGCCATCTAGAAGATGCAAAAGGACAGGACCCATTTGGACTCTGAGGACCACCCATGTCCCCAGGCCCTGCAGTGTGTGACCTGCAGGAGATGCTCTTTGGCAGCACTGGGGCAGGAGCAGCATGAACATGTTTTCCCACTAAAAACTGGCTCCTGCTGGTGTGCTGCCAGTAACACTGAAAAATAGAAGGAGATCTTTTAAGGGATAATATACTTCCTGATGCAGAGCATAATCCAGAGAAGGGTTAGCACAGAACTTTATCTACAGGCATTTTTGCAAAGCTGATTGAAGTGCACAGCCTTAGCTCAATACCCAGACTTACAACACATGTCCTGTGTGAGCTGTAATAAACATTACAGATAAAAACCCTCACAATACACTGAGATAAATACATCTCTGTTTTTTTATCCTCTGGTGCTTCCAACTCAGAGTGACTCACTCCTCCTCTGACACACCTGCTGTGACTACAGGAGGTGACCCAAAGCCAGCCTAAACACAAGGCTTCCACCTATTAGTGTGGATTAATGAGATTCCAATACTGCCATAGGCTGAATTTTTTTAACATTAAAATTAATGAAGGTATTCATTGGACTACAAAAGTAGCAGCATATTTTTTACTCTATTTTCAACCTTGCTACCAAAGCCAGATTAGATTGGTTGGTATTGATGGAGAAGTTTGTCCAGAGAAAACCCCCAAAAAGTTATGCATAACCTATTACTACTATATTACCAGCAAACAATTCCTTTGTTAAAAAGGACAAAGGAAAGGAAGAAGAGAAAGGAAAAGATGGAAGCAAAGGAAATAAAGATTCTTAAAAGCGGCCAATATTTTCTTTGGAAACAAACCTTTTTTCCATCTCAAAATGAAAATCTACACAACATAAACAATATTCTGAACAGGAAGCATACCTCATGAATAGTCTCCTCATAGAAAAATAATGCTAGCATTAAATATAAACATGCTCTACATTATGCATACAGAGAAATGCACCATACTTTTGCCTTTCATGAAGCGACCTAAGCCCCATGAGTGAATTATAGATTTGGGGCTTTCTATCATGGTATAAATAATTACTATTTCAAAATGTGCCCAAGCAGTATCTGAAAGACAGAAATACAGGGATTTGGAAGCTACACTTTTTTGTATTTTAGTATCTACAATGAACATGCATAATCATTCAAGTGTTCTGGGCACGAGTCTTAGTAACTGCCAGTAAAGTTCCTGAAACCACTGACCACTCCACAGTGTGCTTTCCAAAAAACAGAATACTATTCAGATTATTTTTAAATTCACATTTTAAACTTAATGGAATTTACCAAGTAAATCCTACCCTGCCATACACACAACTCCAGCAAATTGAAATCTTAGGTATGCAACTGTGCAAGAAATACTTATAATTCAGCTGTTTCCATTAAATAATAATAATAAAAAATATTACACTGTTACTGTTTTAATACATACTGTTTTTTACTGCATGAACACAGGCAGCTACAGTACCTATGGCCTGAAACAGTGGAAATACAATTTTGCAATCAGACTGTATCTTCAGAGATCAGTTATTTTTTCTGCTTATTTCGTCCTTTGATGAAACTAAGAAACTAAAAAAAAAAGTGACACAAAACCTCACCATTCTCTTTTATTTGCTCTTCCCCTCCCCCTCCCCCCCAAATTTAGAAACTGTCTTCAAAGTACTGATTGCCAGTGCTGCAAAAATTTCCCCATTTTCAGCTTCTGGGGTTTCCCTGTTACTGTTTGTTCACAAACTGTGAATACACTTAAATTAAATAACACACACTAAAATAACACTCTTAAAATGACTAAGAGGGGAAAAACCCCTCATTTTTTAAGAGATGAAACACATCAGATAAACCTTAGACTTAATAAATAAGTAGATATGTGCTTTTTGTGACCTGCTGACAAAGTTTCAATGTAGA